GAGCCATTCAGACAGATGGAGCGAGTGGTGTGAAATGGACTTGTTGGTTAATATTCACATGTTTTTCCGATTTCTGAGAAGGAGGTGCTTGCTGAATGGATGATAACAGAATGAACAAGGGATCGGGTGAGTTTTCCACCACAGAAGAAGCCTGTAGTCTATCAACAGCCGCTGCTACTCATCCCAGCATGTTCATTTATTCACGCCATCATTTATTCATCTTTCCTCCTCTACCCTGGTCTCCATTTTCAAAGTGAATTTCTAAGTTTCTCAACGAAAGACAGGAACGTGATGTTCTTTCTCCAAGAAAGTCCTCTCGTCACTCCTCACTCAACACAAAATAAGACCTTTGTACGCCAGCATTGTGCATTTTTAGTACTTTGTCGTCCGTTTTACACATAGTTTGGTCGGCGTTTATGAAAACACTGTGTCTGGGCCTCCACCTGCCGCTCCAACAGATGGACGTGAGAGACTAGAGAGTGACAGTAATGGAGGGATGGAGTGAGAGTGTGAGATGAGAAGAAAGATCTGCCTTTTTTAAGCAGTGTCACACACTATCTTTTCCGCTCTACCTTGGCTCATTGCTTGTCTCACTTCTGCGGCACGTTGCCATGGGAACACAGCTGCAGCACTTGAGTCGTGAGTTGGGGAGGCTGGGGGTTGCTATTTAGTAAACCCGTTCGCGTTTCTTCATTGGATTTAGCAAGTGAAAAGGCGGCTTACAGAACCTACAGTCATAGCTCTGCCAATAGTGTGAGCAAATGTGTTGTTTTGTGTTCACTTAGAGGCTTGAAATGTTCTCATCTTGGAGGGGTTTACAAGTCAGCTCTCTCAAGGATCACTTCGTAGTGCATCCAACTCTCTCTATCACTTTTTCTATGTATCTAATGTGTTAAACATGTTTAACATGTTAAAATTTCTTACTCAGACGCAAGGCACACATATTGATGGGACGGTTCACCCAAAAATCATTTAGCTACTCACCTTTATGTTGGTTGGACAAACGTTGACTTTCTTTTGTGAAACGCAAAAGATGATATTTTGGTAAAATGTCTCATTTGTTAGTTTGTTTGTTTTTTCTCACTGGACCAAATCTGTTCAGGCATTCTTCAAAATATCTTCTTTTGTGCTTTGCAGAAGAAAGGAACTCACACAGGTCGGGAACAATGAGTAAGTAAATGATGACAGAATCCAAAATAGTTCTCCTGTCCCTGCAAAAAAAAAATGTTTTTGGAATCTTTATTTTTGAGAGTGTGGGTGAACCATCATCTTAAAGGGATAGTCTACCTAAAAATGAAAATGTTGTCATCATTTACTCACCCTCATGTTGTTTCAAACCTGTATGAGTTTCTTTCTTAAGCTGAACATAAAAACATATTTTGAAGAATGCTGGTAATCGAACAGTTGATGGTCACCATTGACGTATTTCTTTCCTAACTATGGAAGTCAATGGGGACCAACAACTGTTTGAGTCTTCAAAATATCTTCTTTTATGTTCATAAGAAAGAAACTCATAAAGGTTTTGGAACGACATGAGGGTGAGTAAATGATGACAAAATGTTCATTTTTGGGTGAACTATTCCTTAAGGTTAAGCCTTTAACAGGGCATTTTCTCATTTTTGTTCTTCTCTCATATACTTAACTCTTGTTGTATAGCGTCTCTGATGGCTTTAACTGTGGTGAATAAGAATGTCATCACTAACATAAACACATAGCACACATACAGTCACCATACTATGTTGTTCTCCCTCTATGCATTGATTAAGAGTCCAACTCTCAGCAGGCCTGTTACACATTGCACATGGCATAATGTCGATAGTACTATTTTCAAATAGAATATGTCGTCAGCCGTTCTTGTAGCAGTGATGGACAATAGAGTCAATAGAGAATGAGTCAATAGAGAATGCCTGAACTAAGGCTCAGCTATGTTCAAGACATGCAGTGTCATATGCATTATATATGCAGTGTTGCGTATGCAACACATATGCAGTGTTGCCTGGTGAGGAAACTCCTGGAAGAGCGTCAGACATTAGTTTCTAAGAGTTAAGCTTTGTAAATGTATGCAAACTCCTAAAAAAATATATATTTTTTTTATTTCAGGAGATCATTTTAAATGTGACTTCCTTCAGCATGTAAAAAAAAAAAAATCATTCGGAATTCCTCAGGTTGCTCACAGGCAGAACCATTTGAAGAACCAGGTGCTTCAAATATCCTATTGTGTACTCCGTGAACTTCAGTATCTATTTCAAGTGCCCGAAAGCCTTTCGCTTGTGATTCATGACTACTGGAGAAACCGTCCACAAGACTTAAGACATCTATTTTGTATGTTCCTCAAAAAACCGAGCATTTTGAAAAGGTTCTTCAGAGGCTTTCACCAGTCTGGGGCTTTTAAAAGTAATAGGCCTACATACCAACAAACAAACTTGAATTTAAAACAGAAAACATCATTTAGAGCAGCTTCTCCAAGACAAGGTACATGAGGTGAGTGGGTGGATAGTTAGCAGTCTTTGATCCTTTGTAGAAGAAACCAGAAATAACAGATGATATTTAAAAAAAATTATGGCATCCTCCTCTAACATAACGGGTGGCTGCATATTGCGGTTGAGATCACGCAGGAGTGGCATCATCCCAGTGTAGAGAGGTCTACCCCGATCTTCACTCTCTCACTCCCCTCCCATTCTCTCTCTGTATCTCTCACCGATCCCACCACAGTGTAGTAAAGCGGACAGGAAGCTAAACAAACAGCGGAATCTTTTCAGTGAAGACCGCGACAGAGGTAAGAAACTTTTATGTCTTTATACCACCTAAATCCGCGATAATCGATGACGGGAATGCCTGGGCGAAATAGATGGAGCACCTCGTTACACATGATCGGAGATCAGGCATCGTGGTTGCCCAGACTGCGCAGAAGCCACCTGCACGCGCTTTATCCAGAAATCATGGAGAAGCCGTGGACGCATTCACGCGTTTCTGGCACAGCGCGTTTTCTGTCCAAATTCATGCGTCTCAAAGCATGTGGGCTTTGAAGCTCAAATGTGTAGGTTTGGCGTGATTTTTCTCGTGAATGTTACTTGTGTGGTGCCATCTGAAAGATCATGCATATTCTTACATAGGATGTAGCCTAGTACACTGGGGGCTGGTCTTAATCTATGGGCATGTAATAACCATGGAGAGCGACTGCAGGAGATGGCACTTAGATCGCCACTGACAGATGTGCGGAGGGGATTTGGTATTAATATACCATGGCGGGGTTTTTTTTTGGCGAACTGCGTGACACGGTTTCGGCTCACCGCAGCGTGCATATGACAGAAGCCCCAGTATTCCATAACTTTGACGCGCTTCGTTTCATCTCATGTATTATGCATGTGTATGTTTGTAAGAAAGCGTCTCCACGAATATTCAGTACTACAGCATAATTGTGAGTGTGATATTGCTTATATGTTATAATTTATGAGTTATACTATATACATTATAATGTAATGTCAAATAAACTATGGTTCAGACAAAAACTGAACAATTGGTTATATTAGTATATTTCATTTCTGTCAAAGAAAATGAATGCTTAGATCGCCACTGACAGATGTGCGGAGGGGATTTGGTATTAATATACCATGGCGGGGTTTTTTTTTGGCGAACTGCGTGACACGGTTTCGGCTCACCGCAGCGTGCATATGACAGAAGCCCCAGTATTCCATAACTTTGACGCGCTTCGTTTCATCTCATGTATTATGCATGTGTATGTTTGTAAGAAAGCGTCTCCACGAACTGTGTGGTGGAATTACATTCACAGCTCACAGATTGTGCGTGTTTGTACGGGTGAGAGAGTGAGAGATTTTGAATAATGATTAGTGTTTCTTTTAATATGCATCGAGAGAAGTAACAGTGTGACACTGGCTTTGATTAGTCTCTATGACTACAGTTACAATGTCCAGGATAACCCGTTGGACATTCTAAATATATTATATCATAAATATCATATTATTATATTCAGTATAAATGCACTCACATTATATAAAAGTAAGCTGGTCTTGTGTAACATCAGTCGATTCTTATCACATTATCTTGATTGGAGTTAAAGATTTAACTGCATACATTCATCAGTAAAACATCTCAATACTGAAAAGAAATTTAGAAATTGCTAATCAATGTCACTAAATGACTTGAAAGTGACAGTGAAAGTGCTTATAGCAGAGCTTAGCAGGATTACAATCCCATTGGTTTGCACAAGTGGGTGCCACAGGGCTCGATCTCACACTACCGGTCATTGATGCTCGTAGCAATTAGCTCAGTTCATCAGCCACATGAGTGCAGTGTTTGTACAGACGCCCTAGGGCTCAAACGACTATGGACACAAAGGTCAAGCCAGGAGGACATTTCAGACAATGTCTACAGGCTTCGTGGTTTGAGGGCGCACAATCTGGTCTTTAAATGGCCAAATGCGGTTGATTCTGCTTGGTGTATGAGATGAAACCGGCGTAATGAAGGAAATGGGCACTATGGATGATGTTGTTCTTGTGCACTTAATGCATCTTTCTCCTCACTGCACAGAGAGACAGTAATTATGATGCCAAGCTCAACTGTCCCTTTGCTCCAAATACATCCCTTAAGATCAGATCCCTGCAGGCTTTCAATGTGCCTTTTAATTAGAGCCTTATAATGATATAAGAGAGACAGAGACTGAGGGAGGAAGTTTGTGTTTTAAGGGGGAGGGGTGTTTTATATTCTGCTTCCCATTAATGAATAATGGCTTTGATTTAGTAATGAAGACTGTGGCTGTGTTGCATATGATGTCAGAACTGTTATGCTTTTGGGGGGCAGTAGTTGTTTTTAATCACATCAAGTTTAGGCAGCACATTAATTCTGTGTAAAATTAAAAATAGTTTAAGTCAAGTCAGTTTTGCTTTGATTCAGTGGTAAATTATGTTGTAGAGAAGTGCTGACGAGTGCTATTTAGAAATCATATGACTTGCTGCCTTAGCAAGCAACATAATCTATAAAACCGAAGAGCTGTGGTGATTAGTTATAATGGTGAAGGTATCAATGAGAGATGATATCAGTGTAACTCTGCATTGGTAAACATTTATCAAGAATGTTTTTGTTATATTGTAACTTCTAGGAAAGAAATAGGATGTCTTTGCCCTTGGCAAGTAAGGAACCTGTTTCATCTAGCCAGTATCTTGCAAATGTTGTCATAGTAATGAGGCTCTGGGTAATTAATAAATTATTTGGCTTATGTAATAACAGATTTTTTTTTTTTTTTAGATTAAACTGAATGACAGTGTCCATGCTGTGATGACAAAGAAGTAACTACACAACATTGCATTATTTTAAAATTGAAACTAAGCTGATACTTTAGGTATTCTTAGATCTTTATTTTAGACTCTATAACTACACTTGCCCCATCACCATGCCCACATGATCCTAAGTATTTCAAATATAAACATGTAGGAAACATTTGAATTCAAAGCAGTAAACAATTTGGAAACAAATATACATAATGTAATATAATACAATAATGAAATATATACATTACCATTTAAAGGTTGAGAAGTTTACAAGCACAAATTTTTAATGATTTTGAAGTCTCTGATGTTCACCAAAGCTGCGGTTAGTTGAGTAAATAATATTTTGAAATATTATTACGGTTTAAAATAACTGTTACCATTTTAAGATAATTTAAAATTTAATCAGAAAGTTCAAAAGAACAGCATTTATCTGACAATAACATTTTTTTTTTAACAATCAAATAGTGTTTACTATTCATTTTGATCTGTTTAATGCACCCTTTGTGAATAAAATAACTTATTTTTAAACAAAAAACTTGAACTTTTGTATGATGGTGTATACAATATACAAATTACAAATAAATAAATAAAACAACTCTAAAAACGCAATGACACTGTGTGCTTGTCACTTTCACAAATGTACACACTTACTCATTTTGTGAATTCAAATCAATTTATAACCCTGACATGAAAGTGTAAATGCTTGATATTTTCACGTTTTTGCAACTTGTACTATCACCTCAGGAGCATGCTGCTGGTACATGATTTCACCCCTGCAGTTCATTTCGAATTGGATAAACTGATGTGTTACAACTCAAACCATGTTACAACACTCCCCCTGACGAAAATTTAGTTACATTTTAAGAGACATGGAAATTCTTAAAGACTCATGCAGATGTCTTCCAGGTATTGTCTAATATGTGTCATTCTATACACACATTAGACCCACACAAATTCACACATAATTTGCATTCATTGGTATGAATTTGCACTTGAGTGTGTGAAAGCAGATTTGTTTCTGTGGGCTGGTATAGTGGACATGTTGCCCACCTAAACATGCTTATCATCTTCACACGTTTGCCCAGCGATGTCAAGACTCTCCTCTCCAGATGATCTACAACTTCCTGCCAGTCAGGCTGTCTGAGTGTGTGTTATGATGATGTACTGATTGTAATTGTTGTGTGTGTGTCTCCTCATTACGGAGTCTCATGATGATGGGTTAATGAGGCTTGCCTGTTTACCTTACTGTCACTTCCTATTGGCTGGCTCAGGGGACTAATTACACTCCCAGTACTACGGGGGGCCCTAAATTACCGTAAGCACTGCTATTACAGCATGGATCTGTTAGAATGTGTATGCAGACAGTCTGCGGACATGTTTGTTGAGGCTTTGAATGTTCATATATATACATTAATACATTCAAAAATAAAGTATGGAAATGTTTCCTCCTTTCAGTCGTCACCTGAAAGTGCTTCTTTTTTACATTTACGGAGTAATATCTGAGTTGCGTTGCCTTTTGGTTGTTTGTTTGTTGCTATATGGTTGCTAATGTGTTGCTAGATGGTAACTCAGATGTTGTGGATGGTTGTTAGGTGGCAGTTTACAAGCCCAAGTCAAAAAAGCCCACCCTCAAACCTCTATAAGGCCCCTTTTCAGTGTAAGTCTATGGGATTTTTTGTAAGTGCAAGTCAGTTTGACAGAAAATACGTATTTTTCCTCCAAAAAGTGCACTTCTCCTCAATAAGTTGCATGACTTTTCATGCGCGTACCACAAACAATGTGAGCTATGCACCAGTATAGTGAATGCTTTAGTAAGCACCACCAATATGAGTTTAATAAACAGACATTTTAATTATTATATGAGTAATTGTACACCCGTCACGCCGCGTTCGACCATAAAGTGGTTTAGTATCATGTCGTCTATGTATTCTTTAAGCCTTCTCTCTTTTTTGATTGGTCTAATTTTCATCACATCTAGACCGAGCCACTCTTAGAGGTGGATTGGGACGGAAAATAGATTGATATAGTATTTGAGGAATGAATGAAAATGACAGAGTGTGGAGAAAGAATTGATTAATATTCTCTCTGCATATATGTAAACTCATTTTCTGAGAGCAGACCTCTCATTCTCTTTCTCTCTCTCATTCCTTCACCCACACCATTCCCACCTCTGACATTTAAAAGAGCGATGTTACGATGTTCGTCTTTGCACTTTACCAACTCCGAGAAAATGACCTTTCATTCACTCAGAACGACACTTAAAAGTATCTAGCACAGCAGGAACTTTTCAGAGTAAGCTCTCTGTTCAACATTTAGCAACAATTTTACATTATTTTATAACTCAGCGCTCTGAAATGGCCTACTTGATTGTGATTGGTCAATAAATCTTGGTCGGTGTAGGTCCATATTTACTTTTTGACAGGAATGAAAACGAGGCTATGAGGGATAGAATTATAGTGCGTTCAATGGATTGTACTGTTATTTACCTATC